TGCCCCACCTGAGGTACCTCATGATTCTTACCTTATTGTCCTGGTTCTCTGCTTTCTGATTGTCTTGTCTCTAGGGGCTGGCTGAAAGAACTGCCTGCCAAAAGATGTCAGCTCCCTTCTTTGTGTGGAAGGGAACATCTTCAGCAGGATGCAGGAACCAAGCTCAGATATTCATTTATCCACCCCACTGAAGGAGTTGAGCTCCTCTGATAAACTCAGCTATAGCTCATGAAAGCAAATACCTTCAAATAAATCTTGCTAAATCTTCACAATTTGGACTGGTGACTTGGTCATTAAGTAAAGCAATTACTAAGTGAAAATCATGTGACTATAACTGTACTTACTATTTTATATCAGCTTTCCTTTGACTTACAGTGTCAGGATACAATCCCAAACAGCAGGGAAATTTTCCAGAACTTGAGTCAAGTTATATACTTTCCTCATTCCTTTGCTCTTTGGAATGCTCAAACTGATGCTGGGATAATTAGAAAGAAGGGAATTAATGTTTGTTTTTACATTCACTGGAGAGAAAGGGATTACTAGAGAGTAAGCAGGCACACAATGGGGAATGCACAACCCTAACCCTAGTTCCTGCTCTTTGCCTAATGACGTGCTTAGGAGGCAAATAAAGCCTTTAGTGTAAAACTTAAATTTTAGGTAGCAGCTGCAGCTGGCTGAAGGGTTCTAATCAACTAAGGCAGTGGTGGCGAACCTATGGCACAGAGGCGGCACTCAGAGCCCTCTCTGTGGGCACTCGTGCTGTTGCCCAGTCCTAGGCCTTCAGCTGGGTTTTATAAAACCTTTTCGCTTTAGGCCTCTGCCGCCGTGTGCAAAAAAAAAAAGGTTCAATCAATCAGTCAATTTCAACTTCTCGTGGGGAAAAAAAAGATCTTGCAAAGTTGGAATTGATTAGTCCCACCCAGTCTGCCGTTACCATCACAGCCACACCCAGCCAATGGGCCACACCCAGCCAATGGGCCACACCCACCTGGCACCCGATGCATAAGTGGGTTTTGCGTTGCAGTTTGGGCACTCGGTCTCTAAAAGGTTCGCCATCACTGAACTAAGGTCACAAAGCTGAGCATGTTAAGTTGCAGTTAGCACTTTTAGAGATGCACTGCAGAGAAAAGCAACATAGGAACAGATAGCTTGTTTAAGAAATCTCTCCACTCTGTAAGGAGAGGGGTAACAATTGATGAGGCATAGAACAGTGCGTACTAAGTGTAATGGTGAAAGAGAGAAAGAGATGCTGTGAGTGATCTCAAAGTTACTTTTTCATCACTGTTGTAACTGAGTGAATGTTGTGTGAGGCAGTCACTAAGTGAGGATTACCTGTACATATTTCTGTACTAACGTTTGCTCCTTCATTTAGGGAGGTCAGCAAATGGAGAACAGTTTTGAAATATATATAGCAATTTTGTATTTTTGCCAAGAATTATTCATTAAAATGTATGTAAAGTCAGTGGGAGTCCAATTCAACTCAAAACTTTTTCTTTTTATCTAATGTTTATTTATGATTAAATCGACTTTTATCATACAACCTTATCACATAGTCACACAAATATAAGATGTGAAATATGAATCACTTGTCATATTGTGCAGTTCTTAAATAATATCTTTCCATTTGTATATCAAGAACACAATATGCTGTCCCTCGAGATACTGTTGTAGAAGATTTGCACTTAAAAAACAGATATCTACAAGAAAAACTACTAGTACTAGAGAAACAGCTTCCCCGAGACACCTGTTCAAGGCCATCAGTAAGTTAACCTTATAATCATGCTTTTTCAAGATAAAATTCTTTGCTATGATAGAGTATAAGTTCCCATGATTTTGACAATGTTTTATGATTGTGTATTTTAGTACAATATTTGTGTGTTGTAATTTTAAAGTTAGCACCAACAATTATAAGTGCATTTTATGATATTTGTTATTTAGAGAGCCAGTTTGGTGTAATGGATAAGGCATTAGGCTGGAAACCAGGAGTGTGAGTTCTAGCCCCACCTTAGGGACAAAGCATCTGGATGATCTTGGACTATTCACTTTACCTCAACCCTAGGAAAGAGGCGATGACCATCCACTTTTGAAAAACCTTGCCAAGAAAAGTGCAGGGAGTTGTCCTGCAGTTGTCCAGAATTGGATATGATTGAAGGGAAGGGAAAAATATATTATTTCATTTATGTTGTTTCTGTAAACTATTCAGCTTGCTGAAATGTGATAGTTTAGTCTTTTAAATAATAGAGTATAGATTTACTTTTTAGACATCTTGGGTTTTATATGCTGCCTTGGCAAGATCATGTTTTGAAATAAGTATGAAGGGATTATATACAAATTTTCTTTACAGTAGCAGTTGCTTCCTTGCTTCCTGTCAGAATTATGGGTAATATAGCACAATATAGTTATATAGTTGGGTTCCATTTGTTCTTTAGTACTATTGTTATTTGTAAAATATCTTAAAATGCCAACTATTAAGCTTTTAAACATTTATTATAACTTAACCTTCTTCTGAAGACATCAGGGATAGGATCAGATGATCAACATCAGAAAGAACAAGAGCTTCAAAAGGAGAATCTAATATTGTCATCTGAAAATATGGAGTTACGATTCCAGCTAGAACAAGCCAATAAGGACTTGCCAAGATTAAAGGTATATATTTTTATTTTATGAATTTGATGTTCTGCAGAAAATTAATGTTTCAGATTTTTAAAAAAAATGTATTTGTAACACTTGCTCACATGGATCAATTTCTCTATATATTACTATATCTTAGATTAAATTATTGGAAATAAATTATTTCACAAAGATCCTTTTATGAGATATGACTATCATTGTAGATCACACAACAATAGCCTTTGCTTTGAAGAAATTTATATGTGCATCTCATTAAAATTAATCTTGATCAGACATTTAATATCAAAATATTTGTACGATTTTTGTTTAGATTCTGGATTTACCTATTGAATTCTGCTGAGTATATGGTTCCTTTTCTCTTAGTTATGGCATTGGTTTTTATACTATTTTACCGTGATTACAATAAACTGGTTTTATCTCTGCTTCCTCCTTTTTCCAAAAGCTTTGAAATATTGAAATATCTAGTGATTAGCGAGAACACAATCTTTATGAATTATTACCCTGAATAACATAGCATTCACATTCTTCTTTCATAGTGTAAATTGTCTAATTCAAAAGTTAACAGATTCTTGTCACAGAGTGACATAGTTTTGCTTTGGTATCATGAGTGTAAATAATTACAGTAGTTAAATACATAGTGTAAATCATTAGAATTATTATTAATAATTAAGTATTTAGTATATAACAGGAAAGAAGTTCTTTGTGAACATATAATCCCTTGTTGCATGCATCCAGATACCTTTGTAATAGGATGGATATTGCAGAGAAAGCTAATTTCTTTATGCATATTTTGAATTTTCCATTTTACCATATATTTTTATTTTTAGAAGAAGTGTTCCACAGAATGAGATTATCACTTTATTTTTTCAATAGAATCAAGTAGCTGATTTAAAAGAAATGTGTGAGCTCCTGAAACGAGAAAAGGGAGAAGCTGAACGGAAATTAGGCAATGTCAGAGGGGTAAGATTATATGATAGAACTTGTAAAAGAGGTACAGGAATGAATCCTATAAATACTACGTACTTGTATTAACTGCATTAAAATATAGAAGACCTTTGGCTTTCAGCAATGAAGAGTTTCTTATCCCAAGGTAGAGAAATATGATTTGTTTGCCTTAATAGCAGAGCATGAGATTTACTAAAAACTGAGATAAAATTTAAATAGGAATAAAAATAATGTATCAAATACTATATATGAGAATTGTTTTTTTTTTACATGTTACAAAAATATAATTTTTTGATAATTCTGTCTTAGTACATAAGGACTGTATCATGTCAAAAAACTAGAAGATTCTACTCACACCAAATTCACCAGTATTCATTTAGGTCAGTGGTTCTCAACCTTTTTAATGCCACGACCCCCAACCGGTCGTAAGTCGAGGACTAAACCGGTCGTAAGTCGAGGACTACCCAACCGGTCATAAGTCGGCTTTCCCTGCCCGGGAGCGCCACACATGCGTGGTTCCGCCCCCTGTGCCGGCCGAGGCGTAGCTGGCAAGCAGCAGAGACGGAGCAGGCTGACCACCAGCTGGCCCAGCTCAAGGGAGGTAAGGCACCCGCCGGAAAAGGGGGAAAAAATGGCGGACAGCCTTGCTTGGTGACCCCCGTGAAATGGTCGATCGACCCCAAATGGGTTCGCGACCCATAGGTTGAGAACTGCTGATTTAGGTAAATGTAACACTCCAAAACCCAAAACTCCTTGGATACTATGTAGTAGATCACCATCTCATAGCAAGCAATAGCAATAGCACTTAAACTTATATATCACTTCACAGTGCTTTACAGCCCTCTCTAAGCAGTTTACAGAGTCAGCATATTGCCCCCAACAATCTGGGTCCTCATTTTACTGATCTTGGAAGGATGGAAGGCTGAGTCAACCTTGAGCCGGAGAGAATTGAACTGCTGGCAGTCAGCAATACTGCATTCTAACCACTGTGCCACCACGGCTCTTAGTAGCTAGTCCCATCCAGCCTGTAAGATTCAGCTAAGTTTTCATTATTACAGTATAGTTAAATGAGTCCACAAAGCCTACAAAATAAGTTATAGAACATGGAATCTGATTATAATAGAGCAATTATTTGTAGCCCTTAGCTTCTGTTTGTTCAAGCAGACAGCATTTAATCCACTTCTGTTTACAGAATAAGTATCTCTCATCACATGAGGGGATAAATCATCTTCCCATAGATGTCCAGGCTGCAATATATCCTAGCTGTAATTAAGAAAAATGGTTTTTCCCATAGTTGCATTTAACTGTAAATTTTAATATTATAAGAAGACAGTGTTCTTAACTATATTAGAAATCTGTGGGAATGAAGCAAAATCTGCACGTTCAATTTTTTCTGATGATTACTGGGGATATTAATATAATAGGTGTAAATGACTTCTCATAAGTTATGCCTTGTAGAGTTTCTTTGTCACAATATGAAGCCAAAATAGGTTTGCTTTCATCTGTGCGTTTCACTGCAAAAGAATTTGTTCACACTGCTCCTGCAAGTACTTCACATCCTGCAATGTTACAAAGAACAAAATAGAGAAAATAGCTGCTAAAGTAATTGGTTTGCAGTTTTTATTAAACCTCATATCTATATTATGTAACTATAAAGTGATAATACCATTTATTCTAAATAGTACTATATAATATTGAACTAAATATCTATATCAAGGAGATATCACAAATAAAAAATATATAGTTAGAAAATATTTTCTTGGAGCCTATGTAATAAAAATGGTATCTTTAGATTAATAAGATAATATGATATAATATAATATGATCTCTTATTTATTCATGTAGGCTGGAAGAAGTGGAAAAACAATTCCAGAATTAGAGAAAACAATTGGCTTGATGAAAAAAGTTGTAGAGAGAGTCCAAAGAGAAAATGAAGAGCTAAAAAGGGCGCCTGGAGTAGTCTCAAATGAAAAAGTTGTCAGACTTGAGCAAGAAAATGAGGACTTAAGGGTAACATATGCTATTTTAAAGACTTTTTTTATTTTAATATTTAATCTGAAAAATATACAGTGATTATGAAGGTTGTCTCCTTACTCTTGAGCTTACAAAGATCTCTCAAGACCTGGTTGAGGTCCTTGGGATCCCAGAACTCGTGAGATGGCTCTCTTATTAATATCCCTTCATTTATTATTTTTCCTCTTTTAGCTCTACTTTTAGAACTTAATTATAAATTATGAGTTTGGAGTACCCTAATCATTCTAGAAGTTGGATAATACAATGTACATGAAAAAACTTTTTTTTTAAAAAAAAGTATTTTAAGTGAATACAATATGGCTCTGTAGAAATTGATAAGAGCTTTACCATATACAAATAGATACTATGCATTTTTAGATTGTAATAATATGAATAATTTGTGATATAATATTCTTTTTTTCATTTATTTTTAAAATACTAAGTCTGAAATGGAAAAACTGAAACTTCACTTTGGAAGTGAACTAAGTGCACGTTATGAACTGAAGACTAAAGGCACAGAAAAAATCATTGCTGAAAATGACAGAATACGTAAGGAGCTGAAAAAGGTAACTATATAACATTGTATAGATATTGTATGAAACATTTTCAATATAGCTTGATTCTATCTGGGGTTGGGTAACAACATTGGCTTGCATTTTTGAGGAAGCAACTTTATTTTTTAAAAAATATTGCTATAGATTATTAATCTATACATTATTATTTATAACATTTGAAATTATTCCAAATATTATAAATAAGCATGTCTCAGTCTTTCCCATTTTGAAAACAGAACCCTTAATCTTGATATAGAAACAAATCATGGCTTCAGATCCTGATTAGTAAGGATTAGTAAATTAGAATAATTAAACTAAGCCACATTCTTTCGGATTTAATGGAAAATTAGTTTCAAGAAATAGGATTTGTTTTGGCATATGCATCAATGATAAGACAGGAACTTGAAGACATAGTGTTCATTCCAAGCTTAGTTTGGAAACATATTTCAATTTGTTTAATATATTTTTTATGTCAATAGGAAGTAGAAAATGCAGAAAAACTGCGAATGGCAAAGAATAACCTTGAAATAATAAATGGGAAACTGAATGTGGAATTGGAAGAGACAACAAAGAAATTAAACTTAGCAGAAAACAGAATCCCAAAACTTGAAGATGCTGACACCAACAACTGGAAATCTATTGTTATAACAAGGTACAGGTTGCTGTCTGTTAACAGCCATTCAATAACCTAAATTGTGACAGCATTAAATGAGTGGTACTTACAATCAGTCCTTGAAGTTTCAGCTTTTACAGCACTTCCGTGGTCATGTGGATGTGATCTGGGCATTTGACAACCAGCTCACACAATAGTTGCAGCATCCCACAGTCACATGTTCACCATTTCTGACATTCTTTGCTGGTTTCCTACAAGCAGAGTCGTGGGGAAGATGACATGGAAGATTGCAAATTCTGCTGCTATTTTTTCTCCTCAAGAAGCTGGCAGAAGTCACGATCCTCACTGAACGGCCCTTGATTTTCACTTAACAATGATAATGGGGATTGTCAGGATTGCTATTGCTGAATGACATGCTCATATGATACCTTGCTTTATGATCACATAATTTAGCAATAGAAATTCTGGTCATCATTATAAAGTAAGGGCTAACCATAGAACTAAATAATGGAAAATATATATATCCATTTCCCCCAAGATTTCAAAAACTGTTAATTTATTTTTCAAGTTTATTGGCACTTTTGAATAAGTTTCAAAATTTGGAAACTTATCGTTAATGAAAAACATATCAATTAATAGCAGATTTTTGCATCTTTGGACTACATACTTCTAATCTAGGGCATATGACAAGGTCCTTTTTGTTATTTTGTACATTTAAAAAGTTGATTTGGAAAGCTATACAAAATGTTCTTCAGAGTAATCATGTTGAGCTGTGAATCTGTGTTATTATAGATGTATGCATTTCTGTCCACACTGCATCTATTCAATATGAACAATTCAGTATGTATCGTGTCATGTATGATTTAATATAATTGATGAACCAATTGATATTGTATCATATACAATCTTATTTTCTTGAGTAGTATTTTCTTTTAATGAGTCAATAGGAATCAGTATTGTCCATTTTTATTTTTTTTTACTTTCAGGATGTTTGAAAATAAACTCAAAGAAATGGAATCTGAAGTTGCCAGAAAAAACCAAATCATTAGTGATCTTAAACAGAAATTACAAAAGCCAACAGAGAGTGGAGAAAAAAATGAAAACTATATTGAAGACTACCTTAAAGAACAAGTAAGATTTTATTTTTATTTATTTGGTGCCTTCAGGTTAGCTGGCAAGTTCCTGCTGTTTTCCTTGCACATTTTTTTCAGAAGTGGTTTGCCATTGTCTCCTTCCTAGGGCTGAACGTGACTGTGGTTGAGTTAGGACCAGAACTCACACCTTAACTGCTATGTGAACTAAAGTAAAGTTTAGTGTGGACATAATGTGAAAATGTGGTATTTATATTTTACTGATAGATTTTTAATGCAGTTTCTTCCTTTGCAAATCCATTTTTTCCCTTTCTGGTTGGTGTCTAGAGGGCAGGTTATTCTATTCCACTCCTGGTTCTCTGATTACTGGGGAAAAACTTCCTAGAATGGGCATCTCTGATCAGGATATTAAAGCTTTATAAATCTTTTTAGAATCCTATCCTTTAATTGTTCCTGATTGGCATGGATTATTTTATTGTATACTGCTTTTAATCTCTTAGTATTGTTTAATATGGAGTTGGGATCAGGCACACATGCAAAAGTCAGAGGACATCTGAAGGCTCATTCCTTCACAATTGCTCATTTGCTTCATTTTGCAAAACAATTATCACAGAGTTTTTTAATACAATTTTTATATCTTTGGTGATGAGATTAAAAGTAAGGATCTCTATCCCATAACATGACAAGCTCCTCTTCTGCAGTAAGCTTTTTTTTATCAATTTACAAATTAAAGGATGGCAAAAAAGAGAAATTACACATTTCTTCTGCAAAAGTTTATTTACCTCATTATTTTGCTTTTGTAAGCTGAAAGTGACACACCTGAAAATATCATTTTATTGACTTTGGTGTGTTAAATTGGCAGAGTATCAAAATCATCTTGTAAATTTCAGTCTATATGGACTTTTAAATGGGCTTTCCTCTACTTCAGTCCAGTACTTGAATCATTGCACTGAAGTCTATTCCATTGTTTAGCTTAGAATTTTCTCATACTGAGAAGTTCCTAATATTAAAATGAAATCTTTCTTTTCACGTGAAGGCTGAGGTCCTCAAAAGTGTTCCTGAGGATACCAAAACAGAGCAAGAATATGTCAGAGAAAATCAACTTCTCCGGTAAAGCACACAAAATGTTCCCTTTATAAAAACAGAACAAAACATTAGCAAAAGCTGCATAGACTTCTGCTCTTTATTTTTTTTCTTCTTATAGATTAACTAATGATCGTTTGGAAAAGGAAAAAGCAGAACTAATTTACTTGATGGGATCTTCTAGAAATCAAACAAAACTTAAAGGAGATGACCTTGCAGCTGGTAATATATAAAATACTTAGTTGTATATTCTAACTAAACAGACCTTTCAAAGAACCATTAGCAAAATTTCATTCATAGAGAAAGGTTGCCAGCATTCTCACCACAGTTCCCAACAAATTACTTCCGATAATCAAGAAACTTTGCTGCATGTGATAAGATCTGATAAATGTTTACATTTGGAGGTGGGAGACAAAATCCAGAGTTATTATAAGAGACTATAAGTAAAATGTCTTTCACAAGAATAAAATGGAATAAATAACATGAATGGAATTCTACTCTTTCGAACATAAAAAGTTAAATTCAGTGATTTTGCAAATCTATTCTACCAAATTGCTTTAAAACCTAATAATCTGTGTGGGTGTTTAGATCTAATGTACTCAAATCTTTTACTGCTGTATCAGGGTTGTGTGATTCTCCTAGAACAGTGATGGCGAACCTTTTAGAAACTGAGTGCCCAAACTGCAACCCAAAACCCACTTATGCATCGTCGAGTACCGGGTGGGTGTGGCCCATTGGGTGGGCGTGGCTGCAGTGGTAACGGCAGACAGGGTGGGATTAAAAAGTTCAATCAATTCCAACTTTGCAAGATCTTTTTTTTTTCTGTGAGAAGTTGAAATTGACTGATCGAACCTTTTTTTTTTTTTTTGCACATGGCGGCGGAGGCCTAAAGTGAAAAGGTTTTATAAAACCCAGCTGAAGGCCTAGGACTGGAGCGACGGCACGCGTGCCCACAGAGAGGGCTCTGAGTGCCGCCTCTGGCACCTGTGCCATAGGTTCGCCACCACTGTCCTAGAGCACGTGAAAGCCCCCTCACCTCTTACCTGTGCAAACATTAAGTAGAACCAATGTTAACTATGATTAAACATTATCTATATGGCCAATGTTGCCATGAGTTGTTAATTACAATTAACATAGTCATGGGGAATTCATGTAAGGTTTCAGAAGGCCCCTCCTTAGTTATGCCAGTAGCTCTTTTGCATAACTATTTCCAATCAATTATCAATTACATTAGAATATTATACAGCTGTTCTCAAACATACTTCTTAGATATATGAAAATCTATGTGTATTCATTTGTATTTATATCTATAAACTTCTATTTGAATACTTAGAGAAGACTGGAAACTACAAACTAGTGGCAGAAGTAACAGACCTCAAGACACAGCTTAAATCTTCAGATGTGGAACAGCAGCGACTTCATGTTAGTACTGTAATTTTTCAATTCATTGGTTATTTGCAAAATATCCATATTGATAGGCTTAGAAAATATTGGTGCATTGAAATTGATCATTATATAGCATTACATTGCTAAATATTACAACAGTCACTTTTCAAGTTAAGCAAATAAACTTTTCAAGACAAATTTCTTATATTGGATTGTAACTGCAAAAAGTAGAGGCAAAATGAAGTTGATGTTGTGAGGAATGTATTAAATACAAACTATTTAATTCTTGGTTAAATCGATCTTTTGTACTAGAAACCATTTTTTATAATGTCAGATTGGAACTAAAATGCAAAGATGTATGTTTTTATTCATAGGGCATGAAGAAACCAAGAACACATTTTGAATATAGAAAAAATGTAAAGACGTTATATCTGTTGAAATTAATGGATTGTGCTGAGCATATTTATGTTTGTATGTGTGTGTGTTAGGATTAATATATAGTTTTTTTTCTCATTAGGAAGAAATCAAAAAACTTAAAAATGAATTAGACCACTTTGATCCAGCCTTTTTTGAGGAAATCGAAGATTTAAAATATAACTATAATGAAGAAGTTAAAAAGAATATTATTTTAGAAGAGAAATTGAAAACAGTTTCTGAAAAATTTGGAGTTCAAGTAGACATTCCAGGTAGAATTTCTATTGACTAAATAATACTTGAAGAAATATTTCCAAGAAACTTGCCAATACTGAATGAAACATTTGACACAGAAAATGAAGAAAAACATCTTTATGAGTCAGGTATTTTTCCCCCCACTTATTTTAAAGTCAATAAAATGCGGGTTATTTCTGCTGTGTGTAACTCTTATACAATTTCTTTCAAGTGCCTACCTGATTAATCTGGTTTAATGCTTTCACAGGCTCAAAGACAAAAGATTAAAGGGATTATAATAATGTAAAATTGCTAGTTTTTTTAAATTGTGCTAATTTATTAGAATTATTATTTTTCTATGTTTGAATGTATGAATTGTGAATAAAACAATATAATACATTCCTAATTTAAAATGTTTAAGATACGTTATGTTGAATAAAAGTGTTACAAACTTCAAGATCATTTTTCATTAGTTAAGATGTTCTTGAATATGATAAAATGCTGCTTTGTTTTGACAGGACTAGAGTTGTGTCTCCTTATATCTGCTTCAGAAAATTAAATGTTCTACATCAGATTTTAGGAGCCCCAAAGGGGCCATAGAAGAATAAGTCACTGTATAAGCAGATATCTGTTCATGATCCTAATGTAAATAAAGTTCTACTTCAAATGTTATAAAGTTATTTAAGATAATTAAAATCCCTTTATAAATGAAGGATCTTAGCTAAACATTTTAAAAGAGATGCCAGAATGGGGAGTTGCTTCCTTAACTGTTCATAATTAGTGCAAGTGTTCCTTTCTATAAAAATGCATAGAAGCAAAGAATCAGACTGATTCTATGTATTTTAAGTAAAATGGTTTACTTACACTATTCATGACTGATTAATATTGAAATATTATATTCTCCAATACTGGTAGCAGCACATAAACTACAAGATCTTGCTATGAAGTTATATAGTTTCTATAATAATTTCTAAGTTTCCATCTTTTTTATGCCTTCACTACATAGAATCTACTAAGGTTAAATATTACCGTGCCAGCAAAAATGGACATACTATTAGTTTTTTTTAAAAAATGAAGTATTTGTACATTTAAAACTAAAAGAACCTGTGAGACTAATACTTAACTTTCACTGCTTGAATAAAAACATGTTGTGTATTTCACATTTAGGGACTGAAACAATAAAAGTGCTGATAAGTTAAGGTTTTCTTTATAGCTTCTACTAGTTTGTTCAGTTATGTACTGTATGTATATACTGTATGTACATACGTGTGTGTGTGTGTATAATTATAATTTTACAGTCAAGCATGTATAGATATAATATAATTTATATTACACTTCAACAAACATTTTACATATCTTTAGCTTATTATAAATGAAGAAGCAAACATACAGATGGTTCAATGTTTTTTCTGAAGAGACCTGGTCATAAGTCACTTATTATATCTCTAAGACTATTAAATCTGTGTCCATCCAACTTTGAAAAATAATGAAAAAGAGTCTTTGGTTCAAAGTTGTACTTGGCTCTACAGAAAGTGACAGTAACTGGTTTTGACGTCAAAGAAGGATCTGCAATTGGCCAGGATAAGCCAAGATGATGTCTGTGTAGCTATTTAAAAAAGAAAGAAAAGCAGTTAAAATATTGATGTTAACGTATAATCTGTATAGCCTTGTTTAATGACAATACTTGCAGAAAAGTTTGCGTAGAAACAAGCAAAGAAATAAGACTATGAAAAGTATTTGAAAGAGGTAACTTCAAAAAGCCTGTTACCACAAGGATTAAAGCAGCTATGTTCTTTGAAAGATAGATATATACTCTATGTTTTGAAGGCTTTTCTCAGCGCTTTCCTTAACTCTTTGTACATGTGCGCAGTGTTGGCATATATGTATATTTGGAGGTAAGAGTAACATTTTAATAAGCTCCAGGACACTAGGCTTTCTGAACATTAAAGAAAAAAAAATCACAATTCCTTAATGAAACTTGCAGGATTACCTTGATTAAATTTCCATCAGGACAATGCCACACAATTCCTTCTATCTTCCCCTCTTTGCATCCATCAAGCCAAGTTAATATATCATTGCGATTTATTGATGGTGCATTTTTAATCTTAAATGTTCCATGTAGTACAAGAAGGTGTACAGGATGTTTCTTGTTTCCTAAACCTATTAAAATATTCAGAAAATTATAACCAGTGTATTTTATTTTATACAAGAACTCCTCACATTCATCTGAATTGTTCCTTCTTCAAAATCCTATTATAACACTTGCTTCCATAATATATTTACTTCTACCACTATATGTATCTAGGTTTTTTATTTATCTTGTCTAAGAGGTCACTTGGATTGAATTGTCTAATATTTTATTACAATTCTTTATTTCATCAAAGTCATAGAGCAACATATGTTATTTCTACAATTAAATACTTTCAGAAAATAACCTAAATACTCGAATTGGGAAAATAATTTGGAAAAGTTGCTTCATAATTCATTGGTGCATGTACATAGCACCTGTCTGCAATTCTTTAAAATTGTTATATATGGCTGGCCTTTAAAAGGTCCGTGCTACTTTAAACAGTTCCAGACAAATACCATGTTCACACTTTGAAGCACTGGATTACCTTTCTAATTAACTCTATTACACACTTACTGTGTTTTGCTTTTCTACATTATTACATTTGTAATTTCAGTGTAATGGTTTTGCTATATTGTCAGACTTTTTTAAAAAATGAGTTGAAGTGCTTACCATATGGATTTGCATTAATATTTGTTCCAATAAGTTCCAGCGTCTGCTCTGTAATCTCAATTAAAGGTACTGGACAGATTTCTAGAAGATCAGGTTCTTCAGCATGATGCTTCAGAATGAGAGCGAGTTCATACTCGTAATCAACAGCAGAAGAATGCCAACAATATAGTTTGCTGTTTTTTTCTACTGGCACCCAACCTGATTATTATGAAACACTATGTCAATATTGACTTGAGATTGATTGACCTGACATATAAATAAAAATATTAGTGAGATAAATATACATTTTATTGTATGCAAAAAAATGATTGAAAAATTACCACTAATCAACAGAGGAATTCTGTTTATTTCAATTCAAAAAGGAAAAACTCCATAGCTTACTCTTGTGTTTGAAATACAAAAAATCATGAAACATGTTTTTTTCACTTGGAGCACAGGGGTATTCATGATTAAGTACTCCTATTTACTCAGAAGTCAACGAAATACATGATTTACAAAAACTGTAACATTTAGAAACCACTATCATCAATAATTTAAGAACAAAAAGCAAACAGCCCACTATAATGCACTTTTTAGGAACAACCCTCTCACTTTCAGAGTGACGCTGGCCAGTGTATAGTTAAAAATTTTGAATTATGAATATATGAACATGTATGTAAAAAAACAGAAGGATTCTCGTGATAAAGATTAATATTCTACTCTCAATTTGGCTAGAAAATATTAACGCATGATTTGTTAACCTTCTACAATTTTTTTCAAATGGTATCACAACAATATGAAACTTGTAAGAACTAGTGCAACTCTTGAAACTTGAATGCTTTACAGATGTGTGAATTTCACCTCAGAATGCCCAACCAGCGCAGTCAGTGCTGGGAATTCTGGGACATGAAATCCATATATCTGAAGAGTGCCTGGGCGGGGGAAAGTTAATCTTATGGTTATGGCAAATAAATGTAAGATTGCCACTATCGATTTTTTTTGTAATTAGTATAATTGTTGACAGCATAAATAATTTGAAAAGAATGGAATAAATCATAATCTATTTTTTATATAATGTAGACTTCAGTCCGTTAACAATTTTCACTCTGAAGTTGTGGTGAACAATTCTCAGGAAGGGAATATATATTTTCCAGGTAGCTGCTTACATATTGATGTTTCTTTTGCTTGTATTATTGCCAAATGGGAAGTTGTTAAATGAGAACCCTCAGGATAGGATGTTTTGCTCAATTCACCTGAATTCACCTAGTTTCCCTTCCCCCCACATAATTTATCTTTAAAATGGAAGGGAAGTCTTAACATCACTGATAAAATGATAAAGGAAACAAAATTACCTAATATTTTGTTTTTTGAGGGGGAAAAATAAACTTGGAAGTTCATGAAAGAAAAGTTCAAAATGAAAGATAGGAATATTTTTCATGATATATTTTGAAGATGAGGAAGAAATAGGATTTTCCGAAAAGAGATAAAAAGAAGAGCACGCAGTTCCTTTTCTTCTGATCAAGTAGGCAGAATTAACTTTGTACTTTCCAATTACAATCCACATTTGGATGTCCTTTACTAGATACTATACCATTATTACTGACTTCATTTAAATAATTTCTAGACTATTTTAAAAACAAATCTATAGGAATGATTTATAACTACACTATAAATAAAATCTTTCCTAAAGATGAAAGATTAAATAGATGACTTTAGAAGTTTAGAATAGAATTCTCATATTAAGTAATATTTTTATACCTGGAATGTGTCCATTTTCATCAGGAAAAGGCTTTCCATTGTAGTACTCTATGTCCTTGGCTGGAATCCAGCATTCAGGGACAGACCTGAAATCTTCTTCAATATTCCATGTAAATCCTATAGGCAAGAATATGAACACCACCTTTGTAAAAGTTACCATCTATCTTCTGCCTTTGAACAGGTTTACAATTTAGGGTAAATAATAAGCAACAATTTGGCAATGGCAATTCTGGTTTTTTTGTGTCGATTTTTGATTGCTATTACGTTGCAAATATGACAACTGCTAATCTGCATCTACTTTTGCTGTCCCATTTAAAGATTTTGAAGTGTATTTTCATTAATGTTATTGACAAAATGACAATCAAAGGATCTTCAAACTACTTTATTTAATATATGGCATATCATACATTCAAACTACTAATTCATTTTAGTAGGGCAGTCGTACATCAGAATTTGATCAAAACATTTTAACATACTGCTAATCAAGAATTGATATTCTCTAGGTAATTCTTTAAGGACAGAGGGAAACCTAACATGAAATGCCTTCATTATCATTTTTTTCTGTTACAATATATATTTATCAGAAAAATCACCTACCTTTTGAGTGTTCTGCTGAGTACATAAACTGTTTAAACTTCTTCTCGGCTTGCTTGTTCGGTTTTCTATCAAGTCGGGCCCAAAGATAGGGATGACCTACAATGAGATTGAAAGTTTGATGCTTTTTTCAATTATTTCATAAACCAGGTAATCTGAGGTCTTGTTGAAGCCACATATATCTCCAGAAATAAGCAAACATGTGGTATGACCGTATAAAAAATAATTCATACTTAGATTCTATAAGTGGTTGCATCATTTTGAACTAAAATAACAGCAATCAAGCATAACCCAGATTTTTCACTCTACATTTTTGCTTTCCTGAGTCTTCTAAGTGTGCTTCAATTCTGACTATCAAAGTATTATCTACATATTTCCAATTGTTAGTGTTTTGACTTCTAGCTATCATACCTTTCAATCTTCTCATCCCTATATTTAGTGACAAGATAAACAGAAATGGAAATTAGAATCATCCTTGTCACATACCCTTTCTTTTTCTCAACCACTGTTGTTCCAAATTCAGTAACTTATAGTAGCTCTTGCGTTCATTGTAAGTGTTCTAAGAATGATCACATGTACTGTTAGTTTTAATATATTTCATATTCAATCATGATTCACAAAATCAAAGATCTTACTCTATCCAGTGAGACAAAGGTAAACCTATTTCATGTACTTCTCTTGCTTGTAATTATCTTAAGCTAGCTATAGTCTATGCATGACTATTTTTCTTAGTAACATCTTCACAAAAGGTTTGCTTACATCAGAAATAAGTGCAATGGACAAGCATCTGTAAATTTTCTTCTATCTATATTCCTTCCTTCCTCCCTGTTTTTTTTATCTTTTTTGTTCACTGAACATCTTTACCATAATTAATGGGTTTTTTACGTTTTGATCTTGTTATATATCTTATATAATTATCTTCAGATCTATCATTGAAGTTTGACACTTTCACAGATATTTTTCTTAAAATCATTAGAGCTACTGAATCCTTCCATTACATCAAGGTAACAATTTACCCAAAAAAGACAATATATTTTATTAGATAATCCTGCTGAAATGAAATGTTTGTTTGTAAACCTTGCTTATTAAACTCAATGAAATTCATCATAATAATCATATGATTATTTTAGACTTAAATATGCTTAGCTGGATTATGATCTTTGTTATTAAACGCAATAATGGTTAATTAAGGACAAATATTTTTATATTAAGGTGGCATGCTACAGACATATTATAGAATATTAAGTAATATCGGTTCCACAATATTAGTTTCTGTCCTTAAAATCCTTATAATAGATCAGAATATTATAAAGTATTACTGAATGAAATTTTATACAGAAGTGAACATGCATATTAAAAAATCGTTATTTAACAGCAAGATGTGTAACAATAAAAGAAGATAATTATGTAAGACTGCTAAAACAAAATTGGATTTGGAAAAGTGGAAGAACTTCCAACTTTCAATATTGGGGAGAATAGCAACAGTGAAAATAAATATCTTACCAAATACTCTTTTTATTTCAAACGATCCCTGTAAGGCTGGGAAAAGCCTTTTTTGATGAACTGAATACAATATTGAAATTTATCTAGCAAGGAAAAAAAGCTAGAATCAAAGTGAAAATGCTACAAGAAACAAAAGACAGTTGAGGATTTGGACTGCCGGACTGGAGGTTATATTACCAAGCAACCATTCTAACATGGTTTAAAGAATGGATAATGCTTAGAGATAAAAGACTATTGTACCTAGAGGGGCGTGACCTGCAAATCGGTTGGCATGCCTTTCTGTGGTATGGAAAGAATAAAATACATAGATACTTTCAAAACTATTTTATAAGGAATGCACTTCTTTCAGAATGGGAAAGAATAAAAGAAAAAAAAATACATTAAGATACCCGAATGGCTTTCAACAATGGAAGCTTTTGCTTACCCAAATGTAATTAACTACAATAAAGTTGTGACTTATAAAGATATTTTGGACAATGAAGGAAAATTGAAAGACAGACAAGAGTTACAAGAACAAGGTATTGATTTAGCATGGTGGCCATATCTGCAAATTCAAACGAGATATAAAAAAGATGTTAAAACAATGAGATTTTATAAAGAACAGACAGATTTTGATCAGACTGTTAAAAACATATGAAAATTTGATTAAGAAACTCTATAGATTTCTGTTAAACTTAAAGATAGAGGAAGAACAAGTAAAAGAAACTGATAAAATGGGCAAAGAATTTTGGATATAATATAGAATTAGAAGATTGGCAAAAGTTATGGGAAAGAAATATTAAATTAACTAAAGCAGTGCCATATAAAGAAAACTTATATAAAATGTTTTACAATACTTCAAGCAAAAATGTTTAAAAATACTTCAAACAACTGTTGGAAATGTAAACAGAGACCAGATACTTATTATCATATCTGGTGGACATGCCCCAAAGCGAAAAGATTTTGGGTTAAAATACATTTATGGTTGGAGAAAATGACTAAAAAACAAATAAACTTTAAACCAGAATTATTTTTGTTAGGAATAATAGGAGCTAATTATGAGAAAGATTGTAGATATCTAATACTACACATATTAACGGCAGCAAGAATGGTATTTGCCCAACATTGGAAAAACTAAAACTTACCAACTTACCAAATTCTAGATTGTGCAGAAATGGATAGATTGACTTTAAAGATAAAAGAGAAAGACTCAGTGTACTTTAGAACATGGGAAATTTTTTATCAATGGCTAGAAAAACGAGTCAGAGAGAAAGGAATGTGATATATAATTTTGAATCTATATTAGTAAGGCTATTGAGTGATGAATTAACATATTGTTTATGGTAATTAACTATATCTATTATTGTTAGTTAAATATATGTACCCAGACATTATGCTATTTGCTAAATATTGAAAATGTTATTTGGAGAAACCCCAACCCTAACCCAAATCCCGACCCCACCTTATCGCTAACCTTATAAAAACTAATAAAATCTATACAAAAAAAATCAATGTCTAAAAAGATGGATAGCTTGGATATTTCTGTCCTTGTTTACGATTACTTCACTTTTCATATTCTCACCTAAGCAATTCTCCAATTCTTCAAAAATACTATCTAATCCTGGTGTTTAACAACAATTTACATTTAGTCTAAAAAAAAGAAGACCCTGCACTTGTAGAGAAATGCTAGGAAGAAAAAAATGGTTGTAAGATGTGTTGTTTGAGTATAATGGTTTTCAAGTAAACAGACTGCAAGATAAAGCTCTCAGATATGGCTATATTTGGAATTTCTTGGGACAAGGTACCCATCTAACATTAACATTCAGGGCCTTCATAGCCAAACTTCTATGGCTTAGACAGCATATACTGCCACATGACTCTATGTTGACAGCTACATTATGCTATTCAAATTGAAGTGTTACTAGGAAACTAAGAGCCATGCTGAGCAGCAGGACCCTCTTGTCTGGCATTTTTCACTACATGGAAGAGAAACATCCTAACATTTTGAATTATTTAGTTACAAAAATGTGCATGCTACTTGTTCATATACATAATACCTAGTCCAATAACATTTTTAATTTAATTCTTCTATATTACCTTTGTATGTAGTTATATAACAGCAAGTTCCATCCACCTTTTCTGTTGGGATTGCATTGTATATATCTGCAGCTAAAGCCTTCTTACTAATTGAGTTGGTGGCCAACACTTTAAAAGACTGAAAAGAAAATGGTCATTGTAAACTTTTAGGCAAATGTAGTCTTCTTTAAAACTTTAAAAATTTCTATCAGAGGGTTTTGTTGTTTTTTAAAGGATGACCCCAGTAAATTCAAACTGAGTCTGTTTGAAATTAGAAGCATAACTAGCAGAAAATTAAAAAAAAAACGGGTGGAGGTGGAATGTTTGTTGTAATAATATGTTGGGATAAAGTTAAATCTTCTGAAAAATCTATTTATTCAAATAGCTTTTATGAAATAAATGTATTAAATCAACTGATGACAGCTGCAAGTCTTGTATCAGCAGAAATCATTGGTGGAGCAATATTCTACCAGCTAAAGAGTAAGCCAGGATGCATTATTCTCCCTGAAAAATCTAGTCCCACAAAGAGGTAGAATCTGAGGAAGTAAGTTCCAATTTATCAACTTCCTTTTGAAGTGTGAAGGCTATTTCACGCCTTTCGCTATTTTTAAAGTATTTGCACCTTTAAAAAAAGCCCATAACTAACTAAATAATTCACATGGATGCCGCCCTGTGTATTGATAACCAAACTTGGCAGAGATTTTGGAAGAGGTGAAGCGACTCCACCTCTTAATGCAAAGTCGAATTCCTTGCCGGATATCCGCGGTAGTTTCACGTGGCCGTGCTACAAAACTGGGCGAGAGAAACCGGCGCGAATAATTCTCGGTGCAGATGCAGCAGGTTGTTTTTCGCGCAGTCAAGCTCGTGTCTGGTTCTACTAAGACCCGCGATGGCCCAGAAAAATCAATATCCGATTCTTCGCTTGAGACTTCCCAGTTTTTTTTTCTGACAGGCCCGTGGCTCTCCTTCACCCCAGCGGGTAACTCCGACCCCAGTACCTGGCGCTCCCGCTTGGCCGAGGGCTCCTCCTTCACTTGAGTCACGAAGAGGCAGGGCACCTTCTGCTGCACCGAGCCCAGGCGGCTCATGGCCCCAAGAACGCGTCCCTTCGCCCCCTGCGAGCGGGAAGCCTCCAATTCTCAACTGCTGCAAGCCGCTTCCTAGCCAACCTGGAGGCCGCCTCCTTGAGCGGCGACAGACGAGGCAGGGGTAAGTCTCACTGAAAAGATTTCTGGGAAATGTAGTCCAAGGCCGGAGAGAGACACCCTTCCGAGTGATTTACTCGCTGAATTAGAGAAGGTGAATTCTTTTGATCGCAGTTTTCATCCATTGTTCCTCAATCAACCTTTACTAACCAAGTTACCATCCTGATGTATTAAACTACAACTCCCAGCCAGCACGACTAGGATGTTAATCTGAAAGGGAAAAGATAACGTAATACACGCGCCCCAAATAACCACTTCTTTGTTACAACTTTAAATATTTTAGAATTTTAAGAACTGACCTCGATCTTAATGGTTTAACCTTTAAAACATTTCATAGATTTTTTAAAAAATGGTTCCTATGAAGAATTCACGCAGATGCATTTGTGCAATCGGAGATTATTATTTAATAAGAGAAAAAAATTAAAAACCATGTACCTTGCAATAAAATCAAGAATGTTTATTGTTTTATATCCTAAAAATACGTTAGCCTTTAATACCTTGGTTTTCATATCAAAATATTCTGCCATTCAGAATCATTTTCCAATTACTTTAAATAGTTGGGAATCAGTTACTATCGTTTACCAATAAAGAATATACATTATTTTTAGAATTCACCTGCTTGCATTTTACATTGTATTGTTCTTTGATACAATGAAATTTAGGGTGGCAACTTGTATAGGACTAAATAAAAAATCCAAATCCAATGCTAGATGGCAGTATAAAGATACAAAGCAAAAATTTTTCTGCCTTCCAGTGGTCCTTCTGATGTTTTCAGCCCAAAGGTGGCATGTCTACAGTAGTTGAATTATAGTTCAGGAACAGCAATGTGAATGTTTGCACTCATTCCTTTTCAGAAATGTCCAATACTGATTTTGCAATAGTACCTAATGTCTGTGTTTATCACTTTATGCAAATGATTGAGTCACTTACAAGGGTTAAAACAGAAAAATTCATAGGCACCCGAAGATAAATAGCCCCAGGCACAGAAAAATGGCACATTGAATTTATCTATTTACCTGATCCAAATGCCTGGGGGGGAAAGCCAGGTCTTCAGTGCCTTACAAAAGTTTAATTGTAACTGAGTTGGTGTCATCCAAATCTTCAGGGTGACACTGTTCCACAGAATTAGGCTTTTATCTGAAGAGACATTCAGAAATGCTGCATTCATTATACAGAGGCCTTCTTTGAAAAATTATGCATGGCTTCTATAAGATATAAAAGCAGTCTTAAGTGTGAAGCCATTGATTTATGAACATTCCTTGTAAAGTTTCTGTCTGTGCATTAATACAGCACAGCATCCAAACTGCTTTGAAATAATAAAAATAATTATAATTAATTATTTCTTATTTACAATATTTTACAAGTTTAATTATTACCATTTCTAAACATTTATCTCTGGAGTAGCTCCTGTATACTTAGCTACATTTAGATCAGCAATTGTTTATTTTTATTTATTTATTTATATCTTCAGTTATTTTTGTAAATAACTCAAGGCACAAACATACCTAATCCTTCTTCGTCTTCCTATTTTCCCTACAATCCTCTGAAGTGTATTGGGCTCAGAAAGTGTCTGGCCCAAAGTTATCCATCCAGCTTTCATGCTTAAGGAAAACCTACTGCTCACAGACTCCTGGTTTCTGGCCTGGTGGACAAATTGGCTCTCACATTCATGATTATTTTCAGGTTCCTTGAAAAATAATATTTTAATATGCTCTTCAAATGCTTTCCCTTCTTTGAAAATAAAATAGCCAGTTCTTAAACTCTAAATATAAAATTTTTAAACAAATGTGAATTTACAAATTAATAACATAAATATTGTGATGGGACCTGGACCTACTCAGCAAAAATAGTGTACTGCTCTGTTATTCTATTCATCTCTCATATATTGTAACGAATCTTTTCCTTATGTTATCTAAAACTTTATGATTAATTCTTGATTGTTACCCACTAAGAACTGATTATAAATAGGTTATAAATGAATGCATGAATATTTAAGTAAATAGATTCTTTGTTATAGAAATACATAGAACTAATGCAAGCTGCAAATATTAATTTATTTTATTATGTAGCGAAACCAATTGGCTTACTTTCACATGGCATCTTTATGGTTTCCTTTATGAACATCTAGTACAATGGTGGCGAACTTATGGCATGAGTGCCAGAGGCGGCACTCGGTGCCCTCTCTGTGAGCACGCGTGCCGTTGCCCCAGCCCCACCTCCCCCCATGGCCCCCTCACCAGCAGCCCCCCGGAGAGTTGTCTCCAGGCGCGGCCTG